AAAATGCAAAAGCCCCGTGAGAGATTTGAACTCTCGACCCCTGGTTTACAAGACCAGTGCTCTATCCACTGAGCTAACGAGGCTGACATGCTATTACGCACAACTTTTAACAGTTTTATCTGTGTAACTAAAATTAAAATTAAGGGTCTCAAATCATTGTACGAAAAAATGATAGAAGTAGTTTATTTCAGGTCACACTGCAAGCCGTAAAAAGCCGTAAAAAGTTGTCCACCTTGTTGGACGTGTACCATGGCTCACAGAGACAATAACATCTTACTACACCTAAAACTTTTCTTCTCTGGGATGAGACTTTGAACTTTTGGTTCATTTCCAGGGCAACTATCACATATTATGGAACTATCACATATTACACATTTACCCTATGTTCTCACTCAAGTATGTGATCAGTCTTATATTTGCGCGTTAAAAAATACTGCACAGACGCGTAAAAACAGGTTAAAAACAATAAAAATAAACGACAACGGCCAGTGTATCAGCCTCGTTAGCTCAGTGGTTAGAGCACTGGTCTTGTAAACCAGGGGTCGAGAGTTCAAATCTCTCACGGGGCTGCAAGAAGTTCTATTTTTCTTTTTGTCCCGATTGATGCACAAATGCTATTTTTATTTATTTATTTATTTATTTATTTGCTTCGTTTTGTCTATTGAAATGTTTACTTTATTTGTTCGTTGCAAAGCAACATGTTTCTATTCACCAACAATTTTTTTGTCATACTTACGTAATACTTTCCAAGTTAACCACACCCTCATGTATCTTGGTGTCGTAAAATCCGGGATCTTTGTCCAGCATTGCATCTGTTAAATTTTCGCTCAAGTTTTTAACTGCCCTCTCTGAAGCAATGTTCCACATCACATTCTGTCCGAGCGCAAAAAGCAATGTTCCAATGGCCGCATACACATAATAAAGGGCATATTTGCTCATCTTTTCCTCAATTCTGTTTTGAGATAAGCGGCAGTTTTCCGTGATGTTTCGCAGCGTGTAATTTACATTATTTGTTTCGGGCAGAACTTTGGATGTTGGTGTCACAGGTAACATTTTAATACTCTGAACAGGACCTATGCTATCTTTTTGCTTTACAGAAATTCTCTCCTTTGACTTCACCGTGTCAACACGAGTCCCGTTTACCTCAATTCCAGTTAATTCTGTTCCGTTCAGAGTTGTCCCGTTAAGAAACACTGATGTTGTATTATAACGAGTTGAGTTCCTTCCCTCGAAAACTGTTTGGTTTAGCAGCTCACCGTTCAAGCCGACAACTTTCACCTGTATTCCAGTTTCGTTTACCGTAACTTCAAGCGATTTTGTTTCCGTAACGTTTATTCCTTCTAACCGGGGATGAATCATCTCCAGTGTCACCAGGTTTCTTAATCTAACAGAAGTAATACTCTCGTTAAGCGTACAGCTGTAGTTTTCATGGATAACAAGCTCATCCGTCATCTTGCCGTAGATCATGGCTCCCAGAGATGGAATCAGCCCATTAGCTATTGCCATGAGGGACCCACAAATCATTAAAACACGAGAGACCACATCTGAAACAAACTAAATCAACGCCAACAGGTAAATACTTTATTTCGTCGATTAGAGTCCCCTCCTTTTAAATCGTGAACTTTGAAATCAAAATGCACCCTCGTCTCCCTTAAAACTAGTCAGAGGGAATCAATGAAGTAAGGGAAATAGTGTTTGCTGCTAGTTTTGTGCAAAAAAATACTGAAACTGTGCAAACTTCAAACTGAGTTAAATACACAGTTTACAAGAGGAAATGAGAAATTTAAAGGAAACTTTCTGGACGCTCTCTCAATGAAGCTCAATGATACAAGATAATGGCATCTGCTCGACATCCACTTAACTTATATTTAAATAAATTGTTGATGTTGTTGTTTTCCAATGGAACAAACTGCAACTGGTTAATTTCGTTTGTTATTATATTCAAATATGCAATTTGATAATTGGTTGTTCTTAAATAAATTATAGAGACAAGAGACTGCCACACGTATTTTTAAACTCTCTTTTGAGGTTCTGGCACATAGCAACCACGCTAGCAACTACCGCACGCTCATGTAAATTTCGGAGACTGGCACTAGTTTTAGTCCTTTCGCAAACTTCCGTCCTTATCACGTGAGAATCGATGAGATATGCCTTGAGATATTTTAAAGACACTTTTGCGATGCAACACAATTAGAGAAAAGTTAAGGTAATCTTTAAATTACAGTTAAGTAAGCTGAAAAAATAGCAAAGAAACAAAGGTGATTAAGATTGAGACCTATAGAGACAGATTACGGACGAGTTTATCACTAAAAATGCGCGTTAAATTTTTTAAGATAAGCTCACTAACAGTTTATTGTTTAGATACTAGGTCAGGTTTCAAGCTAAACACATGTCAATTGTGGAATTAGCCGGTTATTGATTAAACAATTTCTGGCGTAATAATTAGAAGCTTCGCCTGTCAATTTTCTTGTTCAAGGTTTTTTTTTTTTTTAAAAAAACGTTACGTTGAACGAGAAAATTGACAGGCGGGTCGTCAGATAAGTGTAATGCAAATTAAAATAAAATAACTTCAACCTGGGGATTAGTTTTAGTCGCATAACTGCAAAGTTTACCTCCGTTTAATTTAAGATTAGATTAACATCTAATCTAATTAATTTTACCACATGAAACTACCGTCTGCGACATAGCTTAAACCATCATTCTAAGTGACTGATTTCCTTGGAGTTGGAATCAAAATTAGAAGGCTGAATTAAAAACAAGTTCTCACCTTCCCTGGCTCGTTTCTATCGTCTTCAAGCATTATGACCTAAATACAAATGCCCTGAATCCGCTGCCAAACCTCAACATATTATTTTGATGTTGTTAACCTTGAGTTCAGGGAGTCCAGCTCGTTGTTATCAAGGGCCAACCACTTACAGACCTCGACCTATCTGGCTTGGTAAATTTCAACGCGAAAGGAACAAAACTGTACATTCCCAACACGGACGCGAATATTTTCTCTAATTGCTAGTCAAATTTTTTGACAGGTTTTGACGCCTCGGACTGTAATGAAAACATAAGAAATAAACATAGGCAAAAATCCCTTTCATCAAGCAGGTTATAACTCATTCATTGTTTTGGTTAGACAACCAAATCACCGAGATTTGGAGGTTGACTAATGAACTAATTAGTAAAAGGGGCGCTGTACTTACCCGAACCAGCAGACCTATGTCCTCAGACGCGTGGTTTAATTCAGACATGTGAAATGTCCCTTGCTACTTTAAAATCCTCAGAAAATCCAGGAAGATCAACTTGCTTCAATATTAACCGATATTTACAATAAAATTATTGCTTGAACTTTACATCAGAAGCTCGCCACATTTTGAGCTTTTTTAAAAAAAAATTAAAAAACCGATGTAAAATATCTTTTGTCTTCTTAAAATCTTAAGTCAGCTTTGTAGTGAAAAGGATTTAAAGTCGGATTCGTCTGAGAGACAAATGTATTGTTGATCTGGCAGCCCGCTGTGCAATTCTCGTCCCCCGCCAGGAATTTTTTCATTTTACCCGTAGTTTTTCTCCGGTGGTGGCTGTCAAGAAAATCTGTTGGAAGCCTTAACTCACAACAAGAAGTAAAAAAAAAAAACATCTGACAGATTTCAATCGTTCAAAATTTTAATCAGAGGAGTTTATGAAAATTGTCATATTTCTCCTCAGCTGGTAGTCCTTAGAATTTGCTTTGGTATCATTGCTGGTCTTTGCACTTTCAACATTTTGTAAATAAGCTATCTGATCCTCAACATTACACATATCTTACTGACAGCCCCTTTATTTTTTCAGGCTGTGTAGCAGTGGCGTTTCTGAGAGCGCGAGAGCGGCGTAAAAGCTTGGCGCGCTTGTGCAGACGCAAGGAGCTAAATGACCTAAATGTTCAATCTTGATACCGTTTTACACTTGAAGTGGGCTTTTGAAAATCCAAGTTCCCGGCTTCGACCTCCCGACAGTTCAAACTCGCACTGTCGTTTTGTATTCAAGTGTGGCGCTCTCTCAGAATCTTGTGAGGTATCAACGAAGTTAAAGCTGATGTAATGTTCACGTGATTCAACAAGAGCAGGATACGAGAGTTGTCTCCCGTTTCATACAACAGACGACGTCAACTCTCACTTGTTTTCGGCAAGCTCAGCTCGTTTGATGGGCAACATCCATGTCCCAAAATTCCAAGTTTTGGCACCACTCCAAAAATTCATTTATACACCTCTTACTAACCTCGTCTTCTCGGTTCGTAGTGTAAGCTACGGACCGAGTTTTTCCACCTTCGATTTATGGCCCAAGCGCGAAGCGAGCGGGCCAAATATCGAAAGGGGAAGAGCGCGGATCGGTAACTTACAGTATAGACCGAGCAGATGAGATTAATAAGATATTTACTGTATCTCTCCAGTGTGTCAGACGGGTTCGAGGGTGATTTCTATTCATGCGGAACAGCTTCAAATTTCTAACGCACGTCCACGAGTCAATTTGAAACCGTTGTGGAGTTCTTAGAACGTTTTAATACACAATTTGAATAGAGAGTTTTAAGAACACCTAGCGATAAATCACGAAACATTTTGGCAACAAAAACAGCTTTAAAATTTAGCTGGCCGTATACAGTAGAAAACGGCCCACTAAACTGACCAATCACAGCGCGCGTAGTAATTGAGATATAAAAATAAACTTTACATTTCGGTCGAAGCCTCCATTATCTTCTTCACAGCTCCCATATCAGCAGGCTCAAAAACTCGTTTTCAATGGATTTCTCTCGCAGCATCGGGCAAGATCGTTGCTCTGCGACATTAAATTCTAATTTTCCGAGTACTCGCTCTGTTTCTGATTGGATTATAAGAATCGCCAACCACCCGGAAACCTCTTCGTCAGGTTTTCGTCATTACGTCATGTTGTCTAGCAACGTCCCTTCGAATACCGCCGCCTCAAGCTCTTCTGTCGTACACGAGTTTTTCCGAGCTTCGCAGAAAGACAACTTACAAATATTTGACTAAGACATTTATTACAACTTACTTAAACCCGACTTTACAATTTGATAGGAATGAAAAACTCATTGGCAGATTTCTTTGTACATATGCATGTTTCAAAACTAATCTTGAACTTTTTCTAAACAAATACGTAGTCTTTCAACATTTTTACACTGCCAGACATTGTTTTTAAAATATCTTAAATCCAACATAATCCAAAATGGTGAAGTATTCTTTCAAACGACCTGCTCTTGAGAATTCAAATCCAGTAGAAATAATTCTCAATCACTCTCCCGCTGTTTTTAAGAGCTACCGACAAATAATTTGACATGGTAGTTTTTAACGCTTAGTCTCTTTATTTCTTGGATCTCGGAGATTGCCAGCGGCCCCTCAAAGCTTGGACAACCTCTGACATAATTTCCGTCAGGTTGTGATGCGCTTCGAAAATCTCCTCACTGGACAAATCACGCAAGACGTCAGGTAACGCAAGATCCTTTAGGGAACGTAAACAGTCACAGAATTTCTCCTTTTCCCTGCAGCCTTCTTCTTCGACAGCTAAATTACTTTCGGTGCCTGCAGTCGAGGGGAGCGTAGCAGATTCTTCACTAGTAACTTGGGCCGCCTTCGTTGATTCAGTAAGTTCGTTTTGCTTGGATTTGTCATTGACCTCTCCTGATAAATCCTCTTCGTGAGTCGACGTTTCATCAATTCTCGCACTCTGCTCGACCGATTTCTCGCATGAGAATAATTTAGTCGGCTGGGCGCAAGTTTCACGCTGTGGGGTGGCGATGTCAGCGGATGTTTCCATAGCGTCGGAGTCATGCGTAGTACGGTTTTGACTGGCTGACTCCTCATCGCCCGAGCGTTCATTCACATGGTCCGCTGATCCTCCCTCACTACTGCCCCACATGGCGTCACCAGAAACATTCACCCCCTCTGTGATAGTGATAATCTCGGGTTCATTTGACTCTAAGGCCTTGTTGCACCCCACTTTCTCGTCATCAACGACGCTTTCAATGTCGGGTTCATTCGAGTCGCACTCGTCAGTAGACCCAGTTTCTTCACCCCTCAACTCCTCGGCTGTCTCTAAGCACTCTTCACCCGTGGATGTCGCTTCCAGGTTATCTCCAACAGAATCCTTCATGCTGATTGGCTCCATCACCACGTGGGCCTCGCTTGGGAGCTGGGCACGCTCAGAAGAGGCATCAATCTCTGTGATAAAAGAAAGCAAGCGGGTCAGCAATTCACACTCAAATTTGAAACCTTTTTTTGGAGGACAAATTACACTCAGGTCGAGAAAGGAGTAAGGTTCGGCGACATTGAAGTAAAACGAGAAAGAGCGTACCCAAAATTTTACGGTCAGTTACAGAAACGTTACGGAAATTATCGAGAAATGATGTCATTCTGTAACAAGTTTTGGAACACACGGCGAAATTGATTTCTAAAATGGTCCCGTTCTTTTTATTTCCGGCAACCCATTTCAGTGCTAACTTTCTTCTTTTGATTGGAAAGGTCACATGACCAACCGTACCTTCTATATTTTTATTCTCCTCTTTCAGCGAAGCTTCCGCCGTTAGTTTCGCAGCGAGTGGTTTTGAATTTCTGCCTCTTTGACTTTGGTGAAATCTTCTTAAGGCCTTCTTCAGAGTTGGTACCTTGGGCGATTTAATGGGCAAATTCCTCACCTAAAAACAACAGTTTTTTTAAAACAAATTATTAGTATTTTCACAACTAGAAAGGTTTGTGTATCATGAGGTGTATATTTACCAAAACGGTTAAAATACTGTGGCGATTTGAAATTTCGTGACTAAATATTCGCGGCACGCAATGAGCCTTCCTACTGAAACTAAAACGACTAAAGCCCGTCTCATGAAAGGATCTTTTGTTGAATTTTATAAACTAGATATCAGCGTCTATCTGTTATTGCGTTTGGAAACAATTGCTTTAATGAATAAACACAATATTTTCAACGAAAACCTGTTTTAATTGAAGAATTGGCCCTAGACAAAAGTCACCAAACATCCCATCGCCCCTAGTTACCTGTTCCTCTTTGAGAGCTGACAAGCTTCCAATGGTGTGAATATTCTGCGCGCGTACCAAGTGACCCATACCACGTGACCAGGACATGGTGAGAATGGAAGGAAGTATCTGTTCAACTGGTGCAGTGCAAGACACAAGATCCGGGAACATACAGTCAGTCAGGTCTTGAGTACAAAGGTCACTGCTTACAGGCACAGGTCGCCGCTGAAATGTAAAGGGAAAAACAAACTTCCTTCAGTGTCAAACATCTTACTCTCCGGACCACAAAGACTTTATTTCGCCCATCAGCTCCCGGAATTAAAACTAACGTGGCTTAAGACTGGTTTTCACTAGCTCGGTTAGGAGACCTAGCAGTGTAATTATTTGATTTTTTATACCTGCTTAATAGCCGTAAAAGGAGAAGAGCTGGACGTCTTCAATTGAAAAGCAGTGGTATTTGTTTCTAAGGACTTTTCTTGTGACTCTTCAGAACTGCCATCTTTTTCAGGAAGAGCAAACGACACTCTCCGCACCTGAAAAGAAAACCAATGTTCATGAACCAACTGCCATAGAGATGACGACATGGAGCGATCGTTGCTTAAGTTATGGTTTAAGTTGACACACCACTTTGCGCAGCTGAGAAAGAATCATGCTAGGTACGAATTTAAAGAGCTTGTGAAACTTAGTGATAGTTGAAATTCTTGGATCTTTGGGTATATTATTCAAGGCTTTCAAAAACTGTAAAATTTCTGGGTGGCAAAAGCGCTAATGAGCTCATGCATTGATTCTTTGCAAATCGTGCAATGAACTTTTGATTTTCTAAATCAAGAACGGCAAAAATACCTTTCCAGGAGGAGAGGGCGAGTCAATTGCCTGCTTACTACCAGGCCACTTCTTTAAAATTCCAGTTGTCGGTGAAACGCCTGGTGAATTTCTCCCGCGTAATGTCACACGACAAGGACTTCCACCTGCTGCAAACGGACGCAGAAACTTGTTCTTGGCGCTGAGGACTGGAGACGACGTTGCATCTCTGGTTACGCCCGCGATAGTTAGTTCAGCGGGTTTCATTGTGACGGTTGGTTCATTTGACTTTTCAGGATCTTTGTGCATAAGTTCGCTGACCTCTTGTTCTCCGGGTTCGTCTTCGGGTTCCTCGCGGGAAGGGTTCTTTTCGACGTTGGTTTTCCGTTGCAATCTTCTCCTTGTTCGCCTGGCGATTGGGGACACCTTCATTTTAGTAGCGGGTGGTTCCTCTGGTTTCACAGATGACAATTCGTCAACCTCATTTGTCTCTAATACATCCATCTTTGTTTCCAGCACTGCTTCATCTTCTTTAATCCCTTCCGTTTTTTCAAGTTGCTTTCTTTCTGAATTCCCTTTGTTTCTCATTGTTTCCAATGAACTGGGCAAAATGGCCTCGAGCGGAATCATCATTCGTCTAAGGGACTGGAACGGAGACTCAAAACTTGGCGTCTGTGACGAAGGTATGACGTCAGGTGACGTCACTTCGCATTCGTCATCACCGCACTGCATTTCTTTCTCAATTGTGGTTACATCTTCAACCGTTTCTGCTGTTTTATTGGTAGCAGCGTTTACTTTTTCTTCAGCATCGTCTTCACTTTCGTCATGCGATATTTCGCCAGCACCGTACTCCATCACCTCCTCAACTTCCTTTTCACTGTCTACAGTTTTAAGTTCTTTAACTGTCTTCTTTGTTGTTTCGTTGCTATCTTTAACTTCACTCTTCTCTACACCTGACGAAACTGGGTCAGCCTCAAGCTCTTTCTTGTTCTTCAACGTTAACTCGTCGCCATTGTTGTTTCGTACCAGGGAGAGATCCTTTTCTTCTTCTAAAATAACAATGAGAAAGCAAACATAAAACTAATTTGAATGACACCAGTTCCACTGAAAGGAGCAGATATCAACAGGAAATAAACAAGTTACTAAACAGATAATTTCTCGTTCATTTAACGAACATGAAATAACGATTTATTAAACTCGGCAACGGTTATGAAGAGGAATGTTAAGATATATTGTATAAAATAAGCTGCATAATTTATGCTTAGTTTTCAAGATTTTCCGCTTTCTGAGAAGGCTACGCGTGAGAATGTGTTTACGAAATGAAATAAAGACACTTCTTTTAAAAATCAACGTTGTCTTTGAAGTGACTTGACAAAGAACTCACCAGGGGTACTGGTTGGTGTCGTGTCCGGGCTGTGAAAAGGAAAAAAATCGTGGTTAACTAGCAAGGACAGATGACAGTAGTTTACACATAAAAAAAACCGTGAAAACTCACGTGACTTCTCCTTGTGACGTCAGAGTGAACTGAGAAAACTGAGTGCAGTCTTGTGATTGGTCGAGCGCGTTATACAATGCAGGAACAACACTGCAATAGGAAACAAGACACGAGAATCAGTTATCACACGGTAAACAGAAACATGTAAATTAGGGTTAATTTATAAGTTCACGTTCCTTCACAGTTCAAAATCCTAGTCAACTTTCTCTATTTTTATCTGACAATTTAACAGACTGAACCTAAAACAAGTTTGAAAAAACGCCAATCGTTTTCGACTACTGATTCATCTTCTTTATATTCTCCTTGATGACTCAACAGTCGAAAACATTCGGTGATTTTCAAACTTTTTTTTTGGGTTTTAGCTTTCTAAACTCTTCTATGTATGCTAATGAGCGACATTGTTTATAAAGTCCTTTCCTTTCAGGCCAAAATAACAAACAGGAAAAACAAGAAAAGGCAGTACAGGTTGATTTACTGACCTTCTACTGCGCATGATCTCTTTTTGATGTTCCGTCAACACTCTCTTCTTTTTCGGTGACGGTGCGATCATAACGTATTCCTGCAAACAAGAAAATTAATATTAAAAAAAAAAAAACTTAAGCAAACTAGTTCTTGCTGAAAGAATAATTCAATGAAATTTTTTAACAACTTGTTTAATACCACCAGGCAACAGTTCCGCCCGTCCTAACCCTACAAAACAAAGCACTAACCTGGTCGTCGTCATCGTCAAACTTGGACAGTGGTAATTTTCTCCTGACATGCATATTAGCTGGGGAATTTCTAGGACGTCCAAGTTTTGGTGATCGTGTAATCTGAAAAAAAAAAGAGGTGCCATTACATGGTTGCCACAGACATCCCTTTCAAAATTCCCTGACTTTTCCGTGATAAAAATAAAATTTCCCTGACCAACGAAATGCAAAATGTCAGGTCTAGAAGCGGCTTCTTCTTCCCCTCGTTCATTAAGAGTGATAATTTTCAACAAATTTTCCTTCTTCATTAAGGGAAAATATCGTTGAGATCACAATGACCCCAGCCTTTAATGGTATTAAATCAGCCGTTTTAAACTATTTCAATTTTTCCAGACTTTTCTTCAAAATGTCAATTTTCTCTCACTCAAAATAACATTACCTGATTTTTCCCTGACCTTGAAGAATTTTTTTTTCTCTGACCATTTCCTGGCCTGTGGCACCCCTGCATAAGCCTGCCAAACTGTGACATGCGCAGCAGTTCTTACCATTTTTGGTGACGCGTTTTCCACGGCTTTCTCGGCACTCACTGCTTTGTGTAAGAAACTTCCTTTCAACTGAGGGGAACCCCCTGAAATAGCCATTTGCTTGCGCCTCTGAGGAGAGCCCAGGATACCGTATGGCAGCGGTTTAACGAGGTTATCATGCTGAGTGAGTTCCTCAGACTGAGAAAAAACGAAAAATTGATTTTTCTAAAAAAAATTGTTGGTATATTTAAAATAATTTTGCAGCAAAACTTTTTACATTAGGAGATTAACAAAAATTGATGAAAAACTGATCAATTATGAACGCATTGTTTGTTTCAAGAGGTTCATAGTGCTAATGCTAGGCAATGATTCACGTATTGAACAGACATACTGAACTCTCTTAAAGATCAGAAATATCTTATATGAAGTAACTTGCCTCAAGGTCCAGCTGTGTTTCTTTAACTGAGATCTGAAAAAAATAATAATTAAACAGTGATCAAGAGTGAAAGAACACACCCTGAAACTTCTGACCTGGATTTGTTAAGCTGAAGTTTGAGACAAACGTGTTCGCTGAAGGAAACATTAGGCATGAGGTACCAGTTAACCAAGTAACAACAAGGACAAGATTGCTTTGAAAAAAACTGCGTGAACAATCACACCCTTACGTTTTCCCAGCCTGGCAGAGTAAGTGGCACTTTGTCTTTAGCAATCTGAAGAACTGGTCTGCAAAAGGAAATAGTGAACCGGTTATAACTTGAAAAGTACATCCAGAAAAGCCAATTGCAGAAGAAAATAAATTAAAACGTACCTCAGATTTTCTGGGTACTTCAAGGTTTGCGAGTGAGCAAACGTGGCATTCCAGAACATGACAGCATGGTTCTTTATATTTCTTTTTGGATGACCTAACGTCACCTCCTGTAAAAAGGAAATAATTTGTCAAGTTAAGGACTCAGTTGTAGAATTCAACAATAAAAATAATGTGGATATCGAAGGAGAGGGGTGGGGGTGATAAGAGGTTTGTAAAAAGTGGATGAAGCCAGAATGCAATGTGTTACACCTTACCAAAAGTGGAGACATGATGGTCAACAGATCAGAGTTGTAAGGTCCACAGTGACGACTTTGAATACAAGTGAGAATGTCTGCCCACAGCTTCTCAAGCTGAAATTCAAAACATGAGACCACACTCAGTATATGAATGAAAATTTTGGCACTCAGAATCATCTTTGATTATGATTTACCTTTTGAATAAGCCTTGTTGTAAAAAGCCTCTTGTCCAAAGTGGTTTAAGTGATCTTTATACTGTTTAAAGAAAAAAAATTGAAAACAAAATGCAAGTGCAATTACAGATTAGGCAAGTGAATTTTGAAAGAATTTTCAAAAAATTATGATTATCACAAGTACTATAAATCCTTAAATTGCTTGCGCTTTCATGTGATGTACATTTAATATTTCCCAAAGAAAATTATTATAATGAACATGTCTGTTTTAATTTGCACCGTAGTGCAAATTTTAAACCTTTAGATATATTTTCCTACTCTCAGCCAATCACGGTGAAGTAACATGTGTACTAAATTAATTATCACTAATTAAATCAATCAGTCAGTTGACAGTTTACTCAAATATTGTATGACAAACTTGTAGTTACAGTACCTCGTGTGCGCATTCTCTATGAAACGTACAAGAGCTGGGGCAAGCGCCTTGAGAACAGCAGTTATTGTTATGGCCCCATTAACATGAACAAACAGGTATGAAAGCTTGTCAATCAGGTTTGTAAGAACAGCTGTCAGGATACCGAGCGTCTGCATCGACTCCTGTTATAATAACAAAATATGTAACTGGCATAATATTGACAGTGTTTAGTGTTACTGCTATGAAAACTGGCACTTCATCATCATCAGCATCAACATCATTTATTTACCACAATAAAAACAAACATATATACAATAACAAACATTTTAGATAAGGCAAGGAAACTGTTGTGTCTTTTG